GCTCAAAAGTGATCGAAGCCGCTCGATAGTTTTTGAGGACGCTCGACAGATTTCGAGGACGCTCGATAGTTTTCGAGGACGCTCGATGGTTTTCGAGGAAGCTCGAAAGCGATCGGGGATGCTCGAAAGTAATCAGGGTCGCTCGATAGATTTCGAGGACGCTCGAAAGTAATGGAGGACGCTCGATAGTTTTCGAGGACGCTCGAAAGCGATCGAGGATGCTCCATAGTTTTCGAGGACGCTCTTTCGAGCGTCGCTCGAAATCAATCGAGGATGCTCGAAAGCGATCGAGGACGCTCGAAATCAATCGAGGATGCTCGAAAGCGATCGAGGATGCTCGAAAGTGATCGAGGTCGCTCAAAAGTGATCGAGGGCGCTCGATAGATTTCGTGTAATAGTTTTCGAGGACGCTCGATAGTTTTCGAGGACGCTCGATAGTTTTCGAGGACGCTCGAAAGTGATCGAGGATGCTCGATAGTTTTCGAGGACGCTCGACAGATTTCGAGGACGCTCGATAGTTTTCGAGGACGCTCGAAAGTGATCGAGGTCGCTCGATAGTTTTCGAGGACGCTCGAAAGCGATCAGGGATGCTCGAAATCGATCGAGGACGCTCGAAAGCGATCGAGCATGCTCGAAAGTAATCGAGGTCGTTTGATAGTTTTCGAGGACGCTCGAAAGCGATCGAGGATGCTCCATAGTTTTCGAGGACGCTCTTTCGAGCGTCGCTCGAAATCAATCGAGGATGCTCGAAAGCGATCGAGGACGCTCGAAATCAATCGAGGATGCTCGAAAGCGATCGAGGATGCTCGAAAGTGATCGAGGTCGCTCAAAAGTGATCGAGGGCGCTCGATAGATTTCGTGTAATAGTTTTCGAGGACGCTCGATAGTTTTCGAGGACGCTCGATAGTTTTCGAGGACGCTCGAAAGTGATCGAGGATGCTCGATAGTTTTCGAGGACGCTCGACAGATTTCGAGGACGCTCGATAGTTTTCGAGGACGCTCGAAAGTAATCGAGGTCGCTCGATAGTTTTCGAGGACGCTCGAAAGCGATCAGGGATGCTCGAAATCGATCGAGGACGCTCGAAAGCGATCGAGCATGCTCGAAAGTAATCGAGGTCGTTTGATAGTTTTCGAGGACGCTCGAAAGCGATCGAGGATGCTCCATAGTTTTCGAGGACGCTCTTTCGAGCGTCGCTCGAAATCAATCGAGGATGCTCGAAAGCGATCGAGGACGCTCGAAATCAATCGAGGATGCTCGAAAGCGATCGAGGATGCTCGAAAGTGATCGAGGTCGCTCAAAAGTGATCGAGGGCGCTCGATAGATTTCGTGTAATAGTTTTCGAGGACGCTCGATAGTTTTCGAGGACGCTCGATAGTTTTCGAGGACGCTCGAAAGTGATCGAGGCCGCTCGATAGTTTTCGAGGACGCTCGAAAGCGATCAGGGATGCTCGAAATCGATCGAGGACGCTCGAAAGCGATCGAGCATGCTCGAAAGTAATCGAGGTCGTTTGATAGTTTTCGAGGACGCTCGAAAGCGATCGAGGATGCTCCATAGTTTTCGAGGACGCTCTTTCGAGCGTCGCTCGAAATCAATCGAGGATGCTCGAAAGCGATCGAGGACGCTCGAAATCAATCGAGGATGCTCGAAAGCGATCGAGGATGCTCGAAAGTGATCGAGGACGCTCGATAGTTATCGAGGATGCTCGAAAGTGATCGAGGACGCTCGAAAGTTATCGAGGATGCTCGAAAGTGATCGAGGACGCTCGAAAGTAATCGAGGATGCTCGAAAGTGATCGAGGACGCTCGAAAGTAATCGAGGATGCTCGAAATTGATCGAGGACGCTCGAAAGTAATCGAGGACGCTCGAAAGTAATCGAGGTCGCTCGATAGTTTTCGAGGACGCTCGAAAGCGATCTGGGATGCTCGAAATTGATCGAGGACGCTCGTAAGCGATCGAGCATGCTCGAAAGTAATCGAGGTCGTTTGATAGTTTTCGAGGACGCTCGAAAGCGATCGAGGATGCTCGAAAGCGATCGAGGACGCTCGAAATCAATCGAGGATGCTCGAAAGCGATCGAGGATGCTCGAAAGTGATCGAGGACGCTCGATAGTTTTCGAGGACGCTCGAAAGCGATCGAGGCCGCTCGATAGTTTTCGAGGACGCTCGAAAGCGATCAGGGATGCTCGAAATCGATCGAGGACGCTCGAAAGCGATCGAGCATGCTCGAAAGTAATCGAGGTCGTTTGATAGTTTTCGAGGACGCTCGAAAGCGATCGAGGATGCTCCATAGTTTTCGAGGACGCTCTTTCGAGCGTCGCTCGAAATCAATCGAGGATGCTCGAAAGCGATCGAGGACGCTCGAAATCAATCGAGGATGCTCGAAAGCGATCGAGGATGCTCGAAAGTGATCGAGGTCGCTCAAAAGTGATCGAGGGCGCTCGATAGATTTCGTGTAATAGTTTTCGAGGACGCTCGATAGTTTTCGAGAATGCTCGATAGTTTTCGAGTACGCTCAAAAATGATCGAGAAAGCTCGATAGTTTTCGAGGACGCTCGACAGATTTCGAGAACGCTCGATGGACTTCGAATTTAAGGCGCTACTGACCGGTATAGTGCCTCAAACGTAATACACGACGCTAATATTGCTTGCGTCGAGTGGGATTTTTTCCCGGCGATGATATTTCTTATCCTTTCAGCTTACTCTGGACAATGATTTTGAATAGTAGGTAATGAGTCGCTCGATTTGCCACCCCCATGATCGAAGATCGTGCGCCCGTGTGCTGTGCACGCATTGCACGCGCGCTTACGGCGGGCCTGAGTACACTGTTACACAGAAGTAGATGAGTGATGAAACATAAGATAACAATTACATTATTAATTTGGTCACGTACCTTTATATTATTAGACTCTTTTCTCGAAAAAGCCGCTCAGTTTTCGTCTTCAATACTTTACTACAATTTCCAGCGTGTTTCCTCTATAATTAATTAATACATTTAGTATTACTCAACCAACAAACACAAGTGATCCACTCGATACGTCATAATGAATCGCCTCATGATTTCACAGAGGACTATGACGTCATTTACGCGGAGGTTCACAATAAACACCCTCTAAGCAACCCCATCATGTGATGTAACAACGTATTGGTGTCGCATAATACAGCGATTGTTTCAACCTGTTTGCGATGTCGCAACACGTCCTAAATAATTATTAATTTATTCAGTTTTGTTCTCGATGTGTGGTGACCAATATCTAGTATTTTGATCTATTTCGGCGTATAGTGTTCGGTTGGAATACGTGATGTATGTATATTAGTAAGCATGCAAACATTGATATTCAATAGACTGTTACCAGAAGTTATTTAGCTTCAGTGAGCTGTATCATGGATTTGCTCGAACCGTAATATATTTCATTATATTACAAATATGAAAGACTAGCAGCCCGTCCCGGTTTCGCACGGGGTTGACGATTATTTATTTTTGGAAATTTGGATTGTTGTAGTGACATAACTACATAACATAGTTGGACATATGCTACCGCGGAGTTTTTTGTAGACATTATGATGTTCTTCAATATTGTTCTACATTATTTAGTTCTATCGCTAATAGTTTCGGCAGCGCATTCGACGAAAGACATTTTAAGACTCATTTTTCTACACCTTCGGTTACATTGTCCAAATTTTACCAAGGATCCCTAATTTTTTTTAAATGAAATGTAGTCTATGTCAATTTGGAAGAATTTAGCATTCTATTGGTGAAAGAATTTTTTAAATCGGCCCAGTACTTTTTGAGCCTATTCATTACAAACATACAAAAATAGGTACAAATCTTTCCTCTTTATAATATTAGTATAGATAGACAATAACAACTAGATATCGGGTCGGCGCAAGAAAATCGTCTCGACAAATAAGAGCTCACTTGAGAAGTGAGCTCTTATTTTGTTTAGTATGCTCCAAATACGGCCAACGTACTGACGTCTCACGAGTAATTGCAAGTTGCAAAAATAACAACCGAAAAAGCAGTATAACGGCCGGAGTGTCTTACTTTTGATAAGTACATAAAGTATAAGTTATATTTTAAGCTTTTAAACTAGTAAATAATATCAAATTAGACAAAATTATCAATTATAAACCAACGCCACCAATGTTTGTGCGTGTGTTGGCGATTCCTTGGCCAAGTCTCGCCAACATTTGTATAAACAGAACAGTGGATGCATGGAGTCGATTTGTATTGAAAAAATAAGAAATTGTATCGTTTCTTGCTCGTTCTTCTCCATAGGAATCTACACCTTGGAATGAGCAAATAGCTTCACTTTTAAATTTATATTGTTGTTGTTCAAAAGTGCCTTCCTGGTATAACTGAAATAAATAATTTTGACTTAGACTTAGACTTTTAACGATAAAGTAAATAAACATATCATACACAAAAACGTACCGCTAATAAAAATTAGTGATGTATACTAAGATCCCGAAATGTTAATTTTCATATTATAAAATTATTTTAGTGTCCAACGCGACTCCATACATACCTCCTGTAGCGAAATTCGAAATTTGAAGAAGCAAAACGAAACAAAACAAAACGATATAGATCTCAAGAAAATAATGGAAAAATTATCTTTATTTGTTCGACCTTAAGGTTGAATTCAAACTAGATATTGTATAACTTATGTCTTTTAATTTCTACATGACAGGAGTAAGAAAATACTTTTCTTGTCTTATATGACGAATGGTCGTAAGTATTAGATAATATTTTGACGATTTATGACTTTATTATTAGGTGCCATGGTTTTTATTAGGTTTAACTTAAAACTATTTTAAAACATTTTTCTCTGTTTGTTATTTTTTTACTATTATTATTCACACGGACAGAACTGGAGCTTGATTTTGTACGTAACCCTTTATCTAGTTGTTATTGTTGATCGAAGTTACAAACATACAAAAATAAGTACAAATCTCTTTATAATATTAGTATAGATAAGGGAGTAAAAAGATAAAAAACAAGTAAATTTTAAATTGTCATGTTGCTACTTATTCGTATTTACATTTTTACAGGCTTAGATTTATCGGAGGTAGGTTTTCACTTGAGCAGGACAGGGGCTTTGTAGGCAGCGGCGACTAGAGGAGCGGAGTAGGCACTGTAGGCTGCGACTGGTGCAGAGTAGGCTGCAGCATAGGGGCTGGCATAGGCAGCTGCGGTATAGGCAGCAGCTACAGGAGCGGTGTAGGCAGCTGCGAACGGGGTGGTGTAAGCGGCCGCCACTGGGGCAGCGTAAGCCGCCGCCACTGGGGCAGTGTAAGCAGCAGCTACTGGTGCCGCTACTAGAGGTGCGGAGTAAGCCACTGAGTGGATACCGGGCTTAGCAGCCGCGATGGTGAAGAGGGCAGCGAGGATGATCTGAAACGTAATTAGATATTTAAGAAATTTGAATAATTTAGAATATGTGAGTCACAATTCTAAAAACTCAATGCACGTAAACAGTTTATGACACCCGAATTAATAATCAGAACAGAAACTTAATAATTATACAGTAGTCACTATTGTTAAGCTTTTGGTGAATTATATTTTTCTATTATTGCGAATTTAAAATCAATATGTAATTTACCAGTTTGCACATTTTGATGGGTTTGTTTGTGTTTCTTGTTGTAGACAAGATGAGTGAATGATACGTTTGGACTAAGGACAACAGTTTAAATACTAAAGTGAGCTCGAAAGAAATTCCACCACGCTACGAGGGTTTGCTAACGTATCATGTGCAACGTTGCTCCGAATTCAAGATAAACATCGTGGATGAGGTAATGTTAAAGTGAACCACGCTTTAAAGTAAGTGTGTGTTAGGAACACTGCAGCAGCAGTACTGTCATTGAAAACAGCAGACTTGTCATGTTACTAACTTGAATGATACATTTTACGCGTAGAGCTTTATCAAGTCTAACAGAAAAGCCTACAATCGGATATATAGGGAATGTAAACCATTTGAACTATGACAACAACATGAAACAAGACTGCCTCGTTGGCCGAGTGGTCGCAAGTGCGACTGCCGGGCAAGGGGCTCGGGTTCGATTGCCGGGTCGGGCAAAGTATTACTGGGTTTTTAAAAAAATCTCAGTAGTAGCACGGAGTCTGGAATTGTGCCCGGTATTTGGCAATAGGCTCACTCCCTATTACATGGGATGATGTGACTCATAACATAAATAGTGAAAAGTGGGTGTTACATTGTACAGTGGCATAATGTGAACCTCTGCCTACCACTTCGGGGATACAAGGCGTGATGTTATGTTAATGTAAACCATTGAAAAATAAAATATAATTGTTAAAGTGTATAAAGCAAAACATTTTTCCTGGTTCTCAAGCGCATGAAACATCCTTATTATTATTCAGGATGCACCTCTTTTGTTGCGTCAGAGGTCAGCGAGTGCGTGTCCACTGTTACAATGCTAGGTTTAGTTGCGCATGCGACTATGTGGAGGTCAATGCGCCTGTATAAACTGGACGATTAATTAGATCAGGCTTGATTGCAACTTGTCATACCCATTGTGTTCTTCTATCGCTCTGCGAAAGGACAAACCAGTATGCTCCGCTCCTAATATGATGGATGGCCTTGCCCATTTTGCCAAGAATGTGACGAAGAAAAACAAGTTTTCAGAACACTGTTCAGACAGATAGGTTAGGTATATTATATAGGACTAACTACTTCCGCGCGATTTCACTCGCTCTGCTCGGCGCCTATTAATCGTAGCGTGATATTTTATAGCCTATAGCCTTCCTCGATAAATGGGCTATCCAACACAGAAAGATTTTTTTAAATCGGACCAGGATCGTCGGAGATTAGCGCGTGAAAACAAAAAAACTCTTCAGCTATATAATATTAGTATAGATTTAACAATGTATTAACAGTTGGGTGTAGAGAATCAAAATTAAAGCAATAGTTATAGTAACTGTTGTCTTTATGTGAATGAAGATAGTTTGTAGTGTCTTTTTGAAAACTGACACAGTTGCAACTGCAGCCACAAAATTTCTAGTTCAATGTCGGCAATGTCTTAAAAATTCTTTGCGATGTTCATAAAACCGTGATAGAAAAAAAGATAGTTCTTTAATAAAAATAGTTTAAAAGTTCCCTGAAAACTTTTATTTATTTCACTTTCTATTGCATTATTAAAATGTCGTGTGTTGTTCGAATCCATATCTAGCTGTCATTCCTCATTTTTGCCATTTGGTATCAAATGGCATTAAAATTTGCATTTATTTTTTATTACAGTACAATCAACTCGTTACTTAAAGATATATACATATATCTGCTGTGCCAGAGGCTTCGATATCGGTTTGAACATGAGGTTTTCTAATATCTCAGCGGTCTCATTACTTCATGAAAATAGTGTTGCCGATGCGATCCTTAAGTAAGAAATAGTTTAATTCAGGTTTTCTAATTCAATAATAAAGAATGAACTGTTAAGGATAACTGAGAACAGTTAACATTGGCCAAATCTCAATTTACTAAAGTTTACGACGTTGATAACTAAGTTTTTGTGTTTTTATAACAACTATATGTCAAGACATACTGACTAAATTAACTAAATTAACAAACATCGCCGCGACCGCGCACGCTGCTCATGAGGAAGAACCCCTCTGTGGTTCGGAACTAGTAGTCTGAAGCTTTACTCAGTATTTTCATGTGAGTAACTCGCGATTTTTAGTGAATTAAGTCTTTGTGTCATGGTATGGACTCATTAGATCAAGGAAACAACCTGATTGCTACATTGCACCTAAAAATATAGGTAGGTTGGTACCCAGAGGCCATTACTTTTCTTTTGTTACTGTATTCAATACTTGAATGTCACCTTGTGTTTGTTACATCAATCACAATAAGTAACATAATGGGATTAAATTCTCCTCAGTCATGTTTACATTTGAAGCTTTTATAAAAAGTTTGTATATCATTACCTAAAAGCCATTATCGTATTAGCAAACATTTTCGTGAAATTAGCCTAATTTTGAACTAAAAGGTATTAAAACGTTAATGTGGTTAGTTACTTCTAGTTCTGCTGAATCTAATTAGCGCTGACATTATAATTAGAACTTCGTGTATCTAGTTGTTGTTTAATTATAGGAGTTGAAATGTGGTTTGTCGGTAGGTTCTACGTATAGAACTTAGATTATAATGGTCGTAGCAGCTTAGCATAGTCAAAATTCTGTAGAAAATTGATTAGCGTATCTTTTGTAACTTATTTAACTGTTACTAAAAAATTATATATCATCATCATCATCATCATCATCATATCAGCCACAGGACGTCCACTGCTGAACATAGGCCTCCCCCAAAGACTTCCGGATAGGCCGGTAAATATTTATAGGCAATAAATTCAATAGTATCCATCAGTTAAATGAGGGCTTAATTTTTTTTCATATTTGTACTCTTTGAAGTTTGCTTGGGATAAGGACAGTATTAAAATGCATAAATTGTGATCGAAGCTATACTTTATTATTTATCTTCTGATGTATATTAATGTTCATTATGTTCATTTTTTGTAGGTTCAATGTGTTTGTCCATTTCACTTGCGCAGGTAGTAAGCGGCGTAGGGTGAGGCGTAGGGGTAGGCGGAGTACGCGGCGAGGGGTGCGGAGTACGCGGAGTAGGCGAGGGGCGCGGTGTAGGCGGCCGACACCACGGGAGCGGTGTACGCCGCAGCCACCGGCGCTGTGTATGCAGCGCTGTACAGCACACCAGGCTTAGGGTCGGCAAAAGCCACCGCCAACATGCAGATGAATACGAACTGAAAAAAAATAAACAGTGTCACAAACAATTACCAACATTAGTTACGCTGTAAATAGGACTCCTTAATAATTGTAAACAGAAAACTTTATTGGGTAAGTTGCTAAGAATCTTAAAGTAATTCATTGTACAAAGTTAAAATTTCTGTTAATGAAGACGTTGTTTATATTTTTGCGTAAAATGATAATTATTTTAATAGTTATCTTAAGAAACATTTAATCCCTTTGTTATCCTTGCCACGATATTGTAAACATAGCACGTCCAAGACATTAAAACGATTCATATCTCCTTAATCGTTACGATATACTAAGTATGCAAAATACTTACGTATTTGAACATTTTTGTTGTTGTCACTGAGATGCTGATGCACTGAATGATATCAAACCTACAGTACTAACCAACTTTATAGTGAGATACGAAGGACAATGGACGCAATGCTACGTACAAAGGTAAAACGAAGTTTGGGTAGTGGTCAAAGAGTTGTGAACTGAATGACAATTGCTAAGTTCAACCGAAAGTGTTAAGGAAATTCTCATGAGCGAACCGTGGCAGAGGTAGCACGCACATAGATTTGGGAATCGATGAAAGATGTCGTGTTTAATCAGCAGTACCAGCAGGTATCTAGTAGTCATCGAAGTATGACCACAAGTCCAATTACAAATTGGTCAATCACATTTTTTCTGTTTCGTTCATAATAACAATTATAATTTTTCTACAGGCTTGTTGTTAGTTGACCCAGAAGTGAGATCACTCGATCAACTAACTTTACTAAATAAGGGCTCGTACACAAAACTGCGATGCAATTTCGCAACGCAAAAAATTACGATGCGAATTGCTGCGATGCGATTTCGTGCGACAAGGCGTCTCCCAGATTGACCAGTCCTTCGACAACCGTCAACCATACTAAACGTATTTTAAATTTAAAACTGGGTCATGATATGGATCGTAAAAAGAAGTGTAGTAAATAAAAAAGATTTTGGGAAGATAAGTTTTTGATGAGCGATACGAATCAATTCGCAAGTTCTTACAATGCGTAGAGGGAGCTCGCACATTGCATCGCAGTTTTGTGTACAAGCCCTATGTTCGGCTTTTAATAGATGAAGAAATTTTTTTGAAGTACTAAAGTGTCTGGAATAGGGTATGATGATTGGCATATAAATAATACTAATGAAAATGTTGCTAACTTATCTCGTGAATAGGGAATGTATATTTAATCTGTGAATAAAGACGCGATGTTGTGTTACGTACAACTTTTTTTTTGTAATCGTGATGTTAATATTAGGTTAGCTCAAATAGCTGAAATAGCGTGCGCACGCTGCTCATGAGGAAGAACCCCTCTATGGTTGGAGACTAGTAGAGCTTTTCTCAGTATATTCACGTGAGAAACCCGCGATTTTAGTTAATTTAGTATGTCTCACGATATTTATTATAAAAACATAGGAATGAAATAAAGTAAAATGACCATATGTAACAAAAACAAAAAGTAAATACAGTTTATATAATTACATAATTTACAATTTTACATAAAACTCACAAAACTTCTAAAAACAAACAAATATACATTAAAACTTTGTATTCGTTGCAGACGAATACATACATATTATGTACAGACATATTATAAACTAGCTTTTGCCTGCGACTTCGTCCGCGTGGAATTGTGACTTCCGGCAGAAAAGTATAGATAGCTGTGCCCGCGACTCCGTCAGCGTGTAACTTCTTGTGTATTAAGTTAATGAATGGAGTAACTTCTCCCGTTTTCCCAATATTTCCCTTCACTGCTCTGCTCCTATTGATCGTAGCATAATGAAAAGTATACTATAACCTGCCCAAGAGTATATAGAATAATTGTGCCAAATTTCGTTAAAATCTGTCGAGTAGTTTTTGTTTCCATAACGAACATACAGACAGACAGACAGACAGACAAAAATTTTACTGATTGCATTTTTGACATCAGTAGCGATCCCTAACCACCCTTGATAGTTATTTTTTAAATTAAGTAAAAACGCGGGTTACTCACGTGAATATACTGAGAAAAGCTCTACTAGTTTCGAACCACAGAGGGGTTCTTCCTCATGAGCAGCGTGCGCGCGCCGCGGTCGCGGCGACGTCGCCGCGACCGCGAGAATTTTTTTTAAAACCCATTAATAGTTTGCCCGACCCGGGAATCGAACCCGAGACTCCTCGCCCGGCAGTCGCACTTGCGACCACTCGGCCAACGAGGCAGTATGATTGAAAATGAAACCAAAAATTCTGACAATCTTTGCACTACTGAGAAAATGATTGGTTTCAATAAAATCTGTCTGATAATTTAAATTGATAAAAATTCATTTGACTGTCGTAGCCAAAGATCGAAGGAAACTCATGATTATGCTGCGCGCAGCAGCGTTCTCGATTAACCTCACGTTGCGTACTAGCGTGCATTTGGCCTTCTCAACTTACTATAAAATTGGTAGCTTTGACATCTTTCTCATCATTCAGTGAAGCAGTAGCTCAGTGAAAACAATCAAAATGTTCAAATACATGGTGCGTATAGAAAAGAAGTTTTGTGTAAATAGTTGGTGAATGTAATTAAGTGAAGTGAGATTGTGTGATAGCGCTCTTTTTCAGTGAAATAACAGTTTTGAAGAACTTTAGTGTAGCTTTGAAAATGTGGAATAACAGGGCGAAATAAATTCGCAAAACTAAAATATTATTTTCTCTTCCAGATCGTCCTCGCCTGCATGTTGGTGGCAGCTATCGCTGACCCCAAGCCTGGTGTGCTGTACAGCGCTGCATACACAGCGCCGGTGGCTGCGGCGTACACCGCTCCCGTGGTGTCGGCCGCCTACACCGCGCCCCTCGCCTACTCCGCGTACTCCGCACCCCTCGCCGCGTACTCCGCCTACCCCTACGCCTCACCCTACGCCGCTTACTACCTGCGCAAGTGATTTCAACAAGACGATGACAACACAGCGAATGAATAAATGAAATATTTACCACCACTTTCTTATTTTATTTATCACATCTTAACCATTATGTCTTCAAATAGACACATTTTTATATCAAAATTCAGAAAAAAAAACTCAATAATGATTATACACACATTTTTGAATATTATTAGCATAGTAGTACTTCAAACAACATGAATTTGCATCATCGAATCAATAAATGAAATAGCAAAGAGTAGGCCAAAATCCAAAGTACAAAGCACTAATTCAGAAATCGAACCTTTACGCTTAGCAGATCCGAGTAAAAAAAACTTATCATAAAACTGAAAAAATACAAATAACAATAGCTAACAATGGTTTGTATTTATATGTATACAAAATTATTCATTAGAACCTTAATAAACACCTAATTTATAATTTTGTGGCCATTAAGGTTATATGAATAAAATATAAGCTTATGGCACCGACTTCTAACCTATCAGTGGGTGGGCAACCTATCAGTACTAATAATAGTTAATTTTTGCTTTTTATTTTGACGATTTGCTTGTTATTAGTTTTTTAAAGTCGGTTTTTTAAACGTAGTTTTTATTTTATTATTTTATCATTTTCAGTGTAAAGCTACATAGATCCGTTTTGTCCCTTATAATCTAAGTATAGGTGGAAAGTATAAGTGTGCACAGTGCAATCAATACAAATTATACAAACCCAAACACAAGGTAGTTGCTATAAACCGTTGAAGAGTTCCCTTAACAATAACACTTCTTCATCATCAGACTCTTAATGACAGTCCCGCACCATTTAGGTGTAAAGTTCTCATTAATACAAATTCATCAAGCCCAAACACAAGATTATTACTGTATACCGTTGAAGAGTTCCCTTAACAATTACGCTTCTTCATCATCAGACCCTTAATGGCAGTCCCACCTCATTTAGGTGTAAAGTTCTCATTAATACAAATTAATCAAGCACAAACACAAGGTATAAACCCTTCAGGAGTTCCCTCGACTGTCTGTCGGCTCCATCATCAGGTCGACTCCAGATCGTTATCAAATTGTAGTGTTTAAAAATCCTAATTGAAAAACATAATAGACGCATTACTCGCCCCTAGAATATTCGAAAGTTCCCCTCACTTTCCCTAAGATCCCACAAAACAAGAATTTTGGAAATCGGTTCACAAATGGCGAAGTAATCGGTGAACAAACACTTCTTCTTATTTTGAAGTCGGTAAAAATAACGTAATCATAGGGCACAGGTTCAGGCCTGTAATTATTATGCTACAACCTAACTATGAAGCAATTTTTTTTAAGGGGGGAGTATCATCGAATGACTGCTCCCGCCTGGGTTAGGCGGGAGGGAGTGTCAGACTCTTACCGACTAAAAACCACCCCGTTCCTTCTCCTGCACGTCAAGCCGGAGCCCCGGCTAGCCGTTAGGTTCTAACTATGAAGTGATTACGGCTCTATTAACAACAATGCAGTATTTTGAAATTCGTTTATAGCTATATTGTTAACAACATAACTAACTACATATGTACAAAGTAAACTGACAAAAATATACACGCGATGTTATGGTGTCATGGTATATTAATCTAACCTAAAATAAGAGCAAACAGAAACACGATATTTGAAGGGAACACTGCGATGGATAGAATTTAGACCCATTTTCACACCAGGTCAAGGCTTTTCGACCTTAGCTTAGTGGACCAACCTTGGTTTCCATAACTGTTAATGGCCGTCAAACGTGTATAGACAGAATTTTTTATTCAAATTAGGCCATTAAAGGGAACATCTTGAAAGGTAAAATTGCCCAACACAGGCGCTTGTCCGTTATTCAGGCATAGAGACGAAATTACAAAGCTCACGTAAGATTGGTAATAATAGTTGTGCTTGTAGAAGTGGTTCTTTTTTAATACTTGTTTGCTGGCGCTATATTATTATCCTAGTATGATATTTGTAAAAACGACTTAAAAACGTAGATATCTATGTCAAAACCAAAATCTCTAAAAATCATAAAAAGAAAAAGGTTTTGTTGTCTACAACAACCCCTCTTGGGTTTAAAAATACATTATTTGTATTATTGTATGTTGTTTTTAAGGAAATTATTTAAAATCTTGTTGTTTAATTGTCTTATAATTTGATACTGTATAGCTCTTACTTGAGTTGAGTTTCAGAATAATATTATTTATTTTTGCATCTATACTTATAATAAATCTGTAGAGAGGTCAATTCTGTACATAAAATATATTTAACGTCGTATAATGTATAATATATTTCGTCGTATAATGTATGAATGTGTAATATATTTAACGTCGCGGCGACGTCGCCGCGGTCGCGGCGACGTCGCCGCGACCGCGCACGCTGCTCATGAGGAAGAACCCCTCTGTGGTTCGAAACTAGTAGAGCTTTTCTCAGTATATTCACGTGAGTAACCCGCGTTTTTACTTAATTTAGTATGTCTCACGATAGT